CCTGGTCTCCAGTGTGATGTTGACATCTTGCTTTAGAGGCCTTATTACTTCTTTTTTTAAAGAATTACTTACTATTTATTTATTTATTTATTTATTTATTTTGAGAGGATTTTTGCTATAGGGCATGTGCGCTCACCAGGAAGACAAGAGACAGAACGCGAGAAATCACCCCCTAGGGGAGATGGACACGCCACAATCCCTTCTCCTCCATGCTCTTCTCAAGATCTTGGGCACGCATGCACACATCCCCGGTGTGAGTTTAAGCCACCAGGTCCAGGACTCAAACCATGGTCAATTACATGGGAGTCCAGTGACATAGGCATTATGCCAACTGCTGGTCCCTGTTATTGTTATTTTTTAATTTGATCAGAGAGAGAGAGAGAGAGAAAGGAAAAGTGAGAAAGCAAGTCACCAGGTCTGGGATTCGAGTCACACGGTCAGCCATGTGGGAGCCCAGTGCCTCAGCTAACACTCAAAAACTTTCTCAAAGAACATCTGGCACGTTGCAAACATTATATAGAAGCGGTTAAATATAAATAAATAAATACATAAAATATTACTCATTTAGAGTTCAGTTCAATATAAATAAATAAAATATTACTCATCTGGAGCTTAATTAAATATAAATAAGTTAATTAATTAATAAAATATTACTCACTTAAAGCTGGCTGGAGGTGGAATCTTTGGCACTCGATGCTTGAGGAATGCCTTGCTTTTCCCAATACAAGCAGGAGGATGCTATCTGCCAGATTTCTGGTCCCCCTGGAAGGATGGAGATACTGCTGTTGGCAGTATCTGGGCCAGACTCTCTGCCCAGTGACTGGAATATAAGGTTGCCAGCTACGTTCTGTGACAACGAATGGAACATTTTCAATCTCCTCACTTAGGATAGGTCATTTCAGCTTACAGAGATTCCCCATGCGTGAAGTCTCTCCTGGTAGCCCTAGCTCAGAGGGCCAAGACACATGCCTTGTGGACCCCAAGTTAGACGCTGTGAAAGCGTCTTTAACTGAAAAACAGAACTCACTTCCCTGAATGTGTGTGCCTGAAATATCACCCTGAAGAAGAGAACAGACAGAGCAAAACGTTGAACACAACTAAAGCAAAAGCCAGTTTTCTTACCTTTGCCCTTTTTCGACCATAATATATCTAAAACTGGAGAAGGTCAAACGATTAAGGCATGAGGGTTGGTTGTCACCGATTTGGGGTAAGTACACTGATTGCATGTTCTGAAGTGCTTGGCATAGACAACAGGTGACACTAAAATAAAAAATTAAATCATATATTTTTTTCTCTTCATTCTTTTATTCTTAAGCAAAAACAAAGGAGTAAAACGACTGGCTTTATGTTGTTTTAGAGGACTCGAGAAGCTACACACCACACGTCGTGCCATCAAGGAAATAAAACCTGAAGTTCAAGTCGATGTCTTCTCACTGTCCGCAGTCCCGGTTTCCCATGACCTCTGTCCCATCGGCAGGTTGTCTCCAGGAGAATAGTTTTTCCTGATGCAGAGCTTTTATCTCTGAGCTAGACTCTCCTGGGGCTGGTGTGTTCTATAGCTCAAGAACTTTACACCAACGTGACTGCTTAATTTCTCTCTGGGTGGCTCCTCCCAGATCCCACCACTTCTCTCTTCAATTGAAAACAGAGGAAACGACTTCATTTTACCATTTAACATTTTTATCATCTAGGAATCTTTTGCAGCCTTATCCAAAAACTGGATTTCAAAATTGCTTTCACGAAACCTATATAGGTTTCTACATATATCTAAACCCTTAACATGGAAGAGATTCATTAAGAAAATGCAATTTTATAAAAAACAGGTGAGAATCCCCTTTGAACTATGCTCACTGCACACCTAAGGATATGCAGTCATGCCCACTGCCCCTGAGGAAAAGGGATATACCGTCTTTCTCCACAGATGTGTATGAAAAGCTATTTTTTTCCCAAAGACTTTAACTTGCTGAATGTGCTTACTTTTTATAATCTTGGTGATAAATATGAGCTGAGTCAGAGGCAGAAATACACGGCTGGGCGTGGGGGGCAGTGGGAGTGACAGGAAATAGGATTAAGTGAGCAACTACAAAGATGTGAGCTCATGGTTTCTACTTTTTGCCTTTCCTTTTATTAAAGAAGACAAAAGAATGTGCATTGATGGGAAAATCTAGTCCAGGGGTGAGGGGCTTAAGCCTCCCTACAATTCCCACCTCTGCCGTGATAGCCCTTAGAAGAGAAAAGCTGCTAGGAGTGGGGATGCAGAGGAGAAAATGGTAACCTGGAAGAGGGAAGGTGAGGGGACTGAGGAGTGTGAGAGGAGGGAAAGGAATGGAAAGGGAAGGAAGGAGTGAAAGCAGAGAGTGTGGCCTTGCCGGAAACACGTCAAATACCTCCCATTACAGCTTTAAAATAAGACCGTGCAGGACGCTTTTTAAAAAGCCACAAAATCATCGTTAAAAACAGGAGAAAATGAGAAGCTAAGAACAAGGGGCTTAGAAGACAGAAAGAGGGGAAAGAGAAAGCCATCCACCCCAATCATTCTACCCAAGGTGCTGAAAGCATTTAATGAAGTGTGAAGTTTCAGCTGAATCCAAATTCCTGACGTGGGACACAATGCTAGGAGACACTTCTGGGAAACAAACTCTTCTTTTTCCTAAAGTCAAGCAAATCTGTGCTTAGAGGCCTTCTCCGCCCAGAATAACCGAGACTCTTCCTTCCATTCGCTCACTGGAAGAGACAATCATAACGGTAACAGGGAGAACTCTCTTCTGAGCCAGCCTGCCCCATAGATTGTGTCAGAAGACCCAAATCCACTAATTCTGGCCCATCACACCTTCTGAAAGTGCTGTCCCCTCAAGACCCACACACACCGATGTCCATCCTCTTCTCTGTCATTAAGTTGTGCAGAATGTCTCAGCGATGATAAGGCCTGAAAAGTGATATCATAGCTACTTCCCCAACTACAGGAAAAAGGTCTATCTGGTAGATGGTGCTGCCACGATTAAAAATCAGCTAGAAAAAAAAAAAAGAGTCCTATCTCACTCCATATATGAAAATAAATCCCAAATCAATTTATATGCAAGAAAGAAGAAAATTTTGAATTGGGGGCTATTTTAAATTTTCTCAATGAAATTTAAAAAATAAAAAACTAGATATCATTTTAAAAAAATAATAAAGAGGCCTCTGGCATCAGCAGATGGTGCAGTAGTACATTGCTGGACTTCCACAAGGCCAACTGAGGTTCAAATCCCAGACCCAGTAGCTTGAAACTCACACCAGGCACATGTGCGTGTATGCTCAAGATCCCAGGAGGAGAATGGAGGAGACAGCATTGCAATGTGGCCATCCCCTCTGGTGGTGGTGGGGGGTGATTTCTCACTTTCTTTCTCTGTCTCTGTCTCCTTCCAGCGAGTATATGCACCCTAAGGCAAAAACCTCTACAATTTTTTTTTTTTTTTAAAAAGAGAGAGACACAGTCTACTAGATAAGCATTTCAAAATCTTGTGTAAGAAATACCATACAGGGGCCAGCAGGTGGCATGGTGATTGAGGCACTGAACCCCCACATGGCTGTCCATGGTTCAAGTCCTGGACCTGGCAGCTTACTTTCTCACTTTCCCTCTCTCTCTCTCTGTCTCTTTCTCTCTCTTTCTCTGATCCTCCCTAGTGCTCTGTAGCAAATTAAACAATAATAATTATAATAAATAAATAATTCTTTAAAAAAACATACCACACAAAGCAGAATCGCTAACTGGTCCCAATGACTTAAACAGTTACACCCACTAAATTCAGGCAAATGTCATCGTACAAGATGGCAGTAACAGATCCGATGTTCTGAAGTATAGAGTAAAATATTATCGAAGTCTATAAATGTGATCCGTGCTTCCCTGCACTGCCCTGAGTCTGGCTTCCTGGCTCAAGGTCTCTCACTGTCATGGCTGGTTGTTCTAACAGAGGCGGAGTTCACTGGATGACCATGGAATCACATCTCTCGAAGTCCATGTCTTTATAATCTCAAAAGTGCTCGGAATATAACGCGAGTGTATGTGTGTGTGTAAATGATCTGTGCGATGAAGATGAAGATGGGAAGGCCAGGCGGTGGCACAGTGACATTGCAAGGCTGGATCACATGAGAAGGGCCTGAGTTCCCACCTGCAGCCCTCCCCCAGAAAGGCAAGCTCACACATATACCCATGGTCTGGGACCAGCGAAGGCCAGGAGTGGATCGCGACGTGAAAACCCTGCTGGGTCTGCTCCATCTCTCTTTCTGTCTCTCTGTCTCTGTCTCTCTCACTGATAGAAGAAATGAACTTTAAAAAAAGAAGAGAAGAAGAGGAGGATGAAGCAATTACACCTCAGACTAAAAGTACTTTAGCCTCAAAATTGTTATGATATGATACCATGGTATTGTTTTTACTACAAATACATTTATTAGTTTCTAAAGTATATAAACATTTTATAAAGATATTCTTTATAAGAAGAAAAAAATGGAACAAATAAAATTGAAAAAGACCACATGGAAATTATGTCTGATCCTCCTCATTCATTTCAGAAAGGAGAGAAATGACAGGCAGGGAAATCCCACCTTGTCAAGGGATTCCTTCAAATTTTTCAACGCTTTTTAAATAAAATGACATCGATTGGCCTCTGTTATGCTACACTATAGTGATACAAAATGTGACTAGTACAAAGGTCCTTATATATAATAGACGGTTTTAATATATTACATTTGTTTCTACACAGACAGACTATAAATAGATGTCCCATAGCATGTTTATGGTCATTGTTCCCAGCATCTCACACTATGGTACCAAAGGAAAAATACATTTTCTTTTTCAAAATTGGAAAGAACAAGGGCAAAACCCAGTAGAAATAGCTTTATATGTTAAAAGTCTAAATAGTACAATAGATGGTGTTATAACTTTGGCTATAAAGTAATTTTGAAATCTGGCTAATCATCATTCGGAGTGAACGAACCAAATTAGGTTTACTGAAGTGTGGAGGCCAAATAACTAAAATATGGATGGACTGGGGGTGAGAGTAGATTGGGGTCAAGGGGAGGAACACCAAGGGTAAAACCCGTCCGGAAGCTTTGACACCACGTCTTGACATGGAACCTACTGCATTTGGTCTCAGACGCATCACATCAGACAGATACGTGGGTATTCATCCAGAAGAAACCAGAGCTGGTTTGCAGAGTCAGATCTCTTCAACACCACAGGGAGCCTCGGGCTGAATGTCCCTTCTTTGTGGTGTTCTGAATAAAGGATCAGCCTGGGAAACAGGGAGCCAGGGCTGCATCATTTCCTTCCTGGGGCCAGGCCAGGAGACACGTAAGACTCCGGAAGGAACTCTCATTAGGAGTCGGAAACAGCACAAGGCACTCTCCTCTAGCCTGACCGCGAAGAGCACGCAACCTTCTAAACTGTGAAGCCTTTCCATTTCCTCACAGACCACATGCCCACCTCCACCAGAGCCAACACAATGCATGTGCGGACTCCGGGACTCTTGGAGGGCAAGCCAGCATCTTCCTCTCTATCAATCCACGTCCCACACTTGAGACTTGGCTCCGGACTCAGAGCCTAAATAAAGCCTCTTGGATGGACTCAGCTCTACAAATCTTGCACCTCCCCAGGGACTGCTTCTTCTTTGAGCATGGAGCAGTCATTCCTTGTTCTAACCCACAGTAGGGGGCATCAGAAATGAATGAAACCAAGAATAAGGTCAACACTGGGAGAAGACACAAACACATTCTTAGGTCGGGAGCATCTTCTCAGGAAATGCCTAGAGGACTAGCCCCCTGCAGTCTGAGGTCCTTTTTTTTGTTTTTTGTTGTTTTCTTTTTTTTCAAATGAAAATCAAATGTGGCTACTTTCTGGTGGTGGAAAGAACAACACTTGAAAATCCAAGCAGCACCTCTCATGTGATTTCCAGGCGTAGAGGACACGGGTCCCTCCTTTTAAATAGGAGGAGAGCTCAGCATAGTCCCAGAGTCAGGCTGGAGAATCTGGACAGCGCTGCCAACTTGAACTCCCATGTCCACCAGCTTTAAGAGTTCTGCCTCCTTGCTGGAGCACACGGGTGTGTCCGTGTCGTCGGAGTGATACCCGGACTGGTAGCCACTCGTCTGGTTGGAGCCTTCAGATGCCACAGACTCCCTGCTCTTGCTGGGCAGCATTCCACTGTGGAAGAAATGGCAACCAAATGAGTTGGCAGAGAGAAGACCTTTTATTTATTTATTTATTTTGCTTCTTACCCTCACCCCGTTCTCAACTCCACGTCGGCTGTAATCTCCCTGGAGACACCAGCCACCTCTCACCCAGTTGCTAATCAGCATATCAGGTTTACTCAGACAACGTCTATCTGCGGGTACTAGCATGAATTAGTAGTTACAGATAAGTCCACCCATTCGGGTCCAAGTCTTTCAAGGCCTGGATGAGATGAAAGGCAGTACCCCTGAGTTATGCGGAGGCTCCAACCCATGGAACATTTTTATGGCTTTGTAGATCGACAAGTTTGTATACAAAGATAGGAGCCAAAAGGAGCTTTCATGATATTCAAGGAAATTAGGATGTTCTGAGAGTTGGCGGGTACTTTCCCCACTTGGTCCATTAGGGGATGACAAGGCGTGTGTATGGTGTTCATAAAGTTCTTGAGCAACTTGAAGTTTAATAACCTGAAGCGTGTGTGCAATCAAGCCAGATATGTCAAACACTGTTTTATCCTCATCAAAACCACATTCCTTGGAAGGACTCAGGGATCCGTTCACTCAGCAGCAACTAGAGAATGTTTCCAGTGGTGTGGAACCCTGACAGACAGAAAGCATCAAAGCTTAGAAATATGGGCTGTGTTGATCTAAAACTACAGGATTTTTACTCTCTCAAGCCAGTTCGAGTTGTGTTTTTCCCTTCAATAGCGGTTTTACCCTAATGGCGCTTGTTAAAAACTGCAAAATGGATTTCATTAACTCTGTGTTCCTAGGTAATTTAGTTATTTTGAATAATAATTCAACCTCAGTAAAACTAGCTTAAGCGTCTCGGGCAATGGCATAGTGCCTGGCCTATAGAAGTCATTGAATAAATATTTTTTGCATCGGTGAATGAAACGTAAGACAGGCTCTCAGAGTTTCTTATCCCGGGCCTTGAAGGAAACAATGCAATTGCATGATGGTATATTTGGTGTTTTTTATTGTTGTTGCTTGCTGTTTACAGAGGCAGGAGCTGCCTGTGCATCACTCAATAACCCATGAGATTTTATATAACAGATTATAAGTAGCTCAAAATCATAGCTGTCCTTTGTCATTGCTATAGGGTCCATGCACTCACCAGAGATAGACAGAGAGAGGGAGAGAGGGAAGGTAACAAATCACACACACACTGCCCTCCCCACCCCCACCCCCCGGGAGGAAGAAAGGCCACACCAAAATTCTCCTCTAGTCTCCTTTTGGGATTTGGGGCACATGCACCTGGCATGAGTTTTCAAAGCACGAGGTCTACAACTCAAACGCAGAGTTGGCCATATGGGATCCAGTGCCTTAACCTCCAAGTCACCTGCAGGCCTAATCATCTCTATTCTTACCTTAGCGTGAACCATCCAGTAAATGACTACTTTTGTAAACATACTGCAGTCATCAGAAAATTCATGACTATGTTCTTCTATGCAAAAACGTGTCGTGACTTTTCTGACAACCAAATAGCGTTTCACATATTTGTTATTTTAAAAGCAGGTTTACCTATTCAAAGTAACCACCAATCCCTCCTAAAACATATGTGGGGGATTTGTATTCAAAGCTACATTTAATGCTTTTCCCACAATTAAATACTTAACATTCAGATATCATCATTTAAGTTTCTTTTTTTTTTTTTTTTTTGGAGAGGTTTTTTCTATAGGACGCATGCGCTCGCCAGACAGACAGAGAGAGATAGAGAGACAGAAAGCGAGAAATCTCTCCCGAGGGGGGATGGTCACGCCACAATCCCTTCTCCTCCATTCTCCTCTCGGGATCTTGGGCACGCACGCACACGTGCCCAGCATGAGTTTTAAGCCCCCAGGTCCGGGACGCGAACTGCGGTTGACTACATGGGAGTCTAGCGACATAGCCATTACGCTAACTGCTGGTCCCATTATTTAAGTATTTTTAAACAAATAATTATTTGTTTGTTTATTTATCACCCATCTTAAGTACAGATACACTTATATACAGAGTTGAAAATTCTATTAAGTCCACAAAAATTAAATCCTATGAGTAGTTTTAATGACCTCTTGGTTATTTAGCCAGTATCATAACAAACTGCTGACTGCAAAAAATTACATAAGCTCAGAAGTTCCCTAGCATTCATAAATTCTCATAAAAACTGACCAAATCCTCAAATTTATTTCCGATTATTTTTTAGTCTCACCATTTAATTTCATCATTTACTTTGTTTGGGTTCTTTAGTAGTTAGGTTGATGCTAACTTCCCCAACCAATACACTAAAAAGGAAAATTTTGCATTTGCATTGACAGTTCTAAGTTCCTTCCAATAATGTCTACTGAAATATGTCTTGTTTTACTTGTCTGAGTCTTACCTAAAAGATGGAGCTAATTTGGTTCTGTCTTCCAAAGTTTTCAGCTCTTCC